TTGGAACTTGAAATTGAAATTTTCGAGCTAAAGTTTTGTTGTAAGGGCTGGAGATTAGGAGTTTAAGGCTTTGGATTTAGGGTTTATGGTTTGAAGTAAGGAAAGCCTCCGAAATTTGAGGGGTATTTGATTTGTGATCTTTCTCGAAACCAAATGCAAGCAAACTTGGCAGTCGCTTAAGCTGCAAACCTCAAATTGCACTCTTAGCTTTAAGAGGTGCTTTGGACTTCCAAAAAAGAGGGGGCTTGTGCAAGCCGTCAGTGCCAAATTAAGGCCGAGTAGCTGAAACCTGCGGAGAGCCTGCAGCGTCAAGGGTTCACCTAGGCCGTGGCATTCAGAGCTGGGGGGCATGTGGGCTGTGAGCTTAAAAGTTTTTTCCGGCTGTGGAAAGTTTTTTCTTTGAGATGGGGTAAATCAGGAGACTAAAAAGAAAAAAACAAAGTCCGCGAGCAGCTGGGTAGGCTATATGATGAGGTCCCTCAAAATTCAAAGCACGTAACAGGAAAGTGGGTCTTTCTCATGCCATCCTTGATATAAGATCAAACTGGGGACCTCACCATCCCCATATTCCTAGGGCCTGAGGGTAACCCTATTTCCTTCCTGGCATGCGTGGAAAAGACAGTGACAACAAGTCTGTTCTAGTGTCTGGGCTTAAGTTTTTTAGCGTCTAGGGTGCTTATTGTTTGAAATGGACTATAAACAGGATTATGAAGGGACAACAATAGCGATCAATTCCCTCATTCCCTTCCAAGCACCAAGTAAGAGCCTTGCCCTACCGCCAGGTCCGGCCCTGAGGATAAACAAGGGAAATTACACATGCCGCTTCCCCACACACGGGAAATCCCAGCCAAACCCAAGGCCTAACTCCTAAAGCGAAAGCCATCCCAACCCTCGACCTTCGACACGTAACCCAAAGACCTAAGCCCTGGATGCAGAGCTTCGGCGCAACATCCCAGGCTTACCGTTGGGGGATTCATTGCAAGTTCGGGGTTCTGCAACATATAAACTACTATATTAGTATCACCCTTGCAAGAAAAAACAACAAGTGCTACTATTGCTACTAGTAGTAAAAATAGTCGTGATGGTAGTAGTAGTAGTAGTAGTAGTAGTAGTAGTACTAGTGGTCTACTACTACTACTACTACTCCTACTACTCCTACTACTACTACTACTACTACTACTACAACAAGACCTCTGCCGCTGCTGCTGCTGCTACTGCTGCTGCTGCTAGTAGTAGTACTGGTACTAGTACTAGTACTACTACTACTACTACTACTGCTTACTACTACTACTACTACTACTACTCCTACTACTTTTCCTCCTACTTCTACTACTACTACTACTACTACTACTACTACTTCAACCATCTGCTTTTGGAGCCGAACCCCTCATTAGCAGTTGGCTTTCAGCATAGGGCTGACCTGTCTGCTGTGGGACTGACTATAATCATCGTGAAAATCCTCAAAGAAATGGCCATTAGGTACCCCAGTGATATATGGGAAGAAACCCTGACAAAGCTTGTAATGTAGGGTTCGAGGGTTTCCAAACATTAGGGGTCCCCTTTGCGAGTCCCAAATTGGGGTCCCGCTAAAAAAAGAGCGATGGTATGTTGGGACCCCTGTTTTGGAAACGTGCCTTGAGCTTTCAGGACTAAAGAGTCTACTTGCTATCTAGCCCGATACTCCCCATTGTTGAGTAGAATTCTAAATCTACAAGGCTTCTAAGATTTGAGGGTGCAGTCAATGCTGCCGGGTAGCCAAGGGAATTCTGTTGCTCCAGGGCCGCGTCGCGGAGTTGCCTTCAGCCAGACCATGGCTTATTCAATGAGTAATGTTGGGATCTGTGAACGGGCTGCCCGTGCCTGAAAAAAAGATTCGGACTGCTGAAGGTCTTTGGCGCAATCATCACCAGCCCCAATGCAGTTTCAACATTTGGTATATTTGCAGGGGTATCAATCGCCCAGCCTAACTACCCCAAGTACCCCAGGCCACTCTAAACAAATATATTGCTTAAACCGACAGCCCTAAACCGGAAAGGCTGCCGGCAAAACAGCTGAAGCAACATGCTTTTCTGGCTCTGCCGGCCTATCTCCAGACCCGGCAGGCAGCGCTAGCAAGCTTTGCAGCCGCATGAGCGCGAAGTACCTTGCTTGGTCTCGGGCGTCTAGGGTGTTTAGGATCTCAAGGATTGGGCTTGATAGTTGTTGTTGTGCAGCCCAAAGTTTCTTCATTACATCAACAACTTTGGGTCTATGGGAAAAGGCCGAGGAAGCTTCGGCACCAATCCTGCGAATCTTTACGCAACTCCTTTGTGCTGACGGTTAACCCGCTCTTGTCAGCAAACAGCACAGGCTGCAGGGCACACAGGCAAGCAATGAAAAGTGCCCATAGCAACTAAGCACGTGCCTCGCAGCAATGTTGTTTTTGCGAAGGGCAGGATTTACACAAATATCGTCAACCCAACCAGTGATCTGGTGCAGCCTGGGCAAGACGAGCAGACGGCTGATCTTTTGCAGGAGTTAGGCCATGACAACATCAGAAGGACACCTAGCAGTAATTCCCTTGTCAGGAAGGATGCGAGCGCTGCAAATCTCATCAGCAATGAGAATTTGCGTAACCCCATAGAAGAGCAACTCATCTTCCCGCTGCTCAAGGATAGCAAGTTGGCAGCATGATCAAATGTTTCAGTGCTTGAATCCTAGCAATTGACAACCGCTGAGCCCAAAACCTTAAAACTGTAAACCCTGCCAGCGCAAGCCTGGAGCCCGTAGCTCCACCTCCACAATCCGAAGCACAAAGTCATATGAGCTATAATCTAAACTCCTAGTATCCCCCTTTATAGCCCCTATAGTAGTCCCATATTTAATTCCCTATATAACCCCTTTAAGGAGTATAGACTATAGTTCATATGACATCCCAGCTCTTACTCGGGCCCCGCATTTAAAGGGCGCTGCTTGGCAACAGCGGTTTCGTCTTGTCTCAACATAAACTTCAAGCAGGGCAGGGGGCTCTCTGGGCAGACGTGTTAAAGCCCAAGCTTGCCATAACCCTCAACTTACTTGAACACAAGGTTACCAGAAGCTTTCCTGTAGGCCCATAAGGAATGGTACGACTTTAGCCAGGAAAGGGAAAGGAAATCTATGGGCATCTGCTCAAGCAGGGTCTAGGGTTTGCTGACATTTGGATCTCTGCGGAACCTCCCAGAAGCATAGCTGCCAAAACGATTGCTAAGTCTGCAGTGTCTCCCATGCAAACGCCATGCCGCAGCACAGAACTAGTCTTGACAAATTCCTGTTTCGGGAGTTTATCAGAACACAATTGACAGAGCCTTTGATAGGGACCAGCATGTCCCCCTTGTTACCCCCGATATCCTTGAAGTCTCTGGGGCTTAGATCGGTAATGAATTTTTATCTTGGTGCTTGAAATTTTGGGTCCTAGGTTTACGTTTGGGATTTTGGCCTTTGGATTCTAGATCTTGGATTTGCAGTTTGGGATTTTGGGTTGAGCTTTTCAGCTCGGGTGTTTTGGCGTTTTGGACGCTCGGTTTCAAGTTCTTGGTTTTGGATGTTGGTCTGGATTTTGGATGTTGGTTTTGATTTTGGATGTTGGTTTTGAGCTTTGGATTTTGGACGTTGCGTAGGAGGCTTGGGTAATGCGGCTTCTTTGCAGCCAGTTGTAACCCGAAGCCGATAAGACAAAACTCTGCATGGAAGCTGACAAGGAGCCCCATGTAGACTACTGTCCTTTTAGGTGGGCTTATATGGGGTTCCATGTTACCTAGACCCTAACCCAAAACCTTTTGTGGGGGTAAACTCTGCCAGAGTGCGCGCGGCGCGCAAGGGATGTGGCAGCCGCAGCATGAAGAAAGTCCTCGGAGGCCCAAACCTGGCCAAGTCGTCCGGATGAAGCTCCAAAAGCTAAAGGGGATATAGGGGTTATATAAGGGTTCTATAGAGGCTATATAGGGTTTAGGGTTTAGGCTGAGGGTCTGGCTGGAGGGTTTGGGGTTCAGGCTGTAGGGGGATTGGTAGTCCCAACCCCAAAAATAAGATTGGGTTTTATAGGGATTATATATAAATATGCATACATATTTTTATATATAGGGATACTGGAAAAGAAACTGGAAGCTACAAATTGGAAAGTTTTGGGAGTTTTGTAGTTGGCTCTTAAGCTTTAGGTTCAGGGTATGAGGTATAGGTTTTATAGTCCGGGATCTCCGTATCAGGTTTAGGAGACTGCGGTCTGCTTGGAAGCTCTCTTTATTTCGTACGTCTACTTAACAATAGGGCTTACGGGGCTCATGACAAGTGTTGAGGGGGGTAGTGGGTGGACCTACCAAGGAGGTAGGGGGTTGAGGTATATCTCATTGGGATGTCCATAGAAACTAATGCGCTGTTCTCATAAATGGGTTCTAGAAGAAGGAGAATGAAACAACATGTCAGTTTCTGGTTTAGGGTGCTAAGGGTTCAGGGTTCACGATTTCGGGTGCTTATGGAGCGTAGGGTTTGTACGAATGACTGCTCGGATGCAGCCTTTAAAGTTTTGGCTATGCTTTCGAAGCTCGCACTTAATGGTTGGGGATTAAGGGAGATAGGGAGTTACGTCCTGCTGCCGCATATTTCAATTAAGGACGGGTTGTGATGCAAACGCCGAGATCCGTAACCAAGCAGTACGTCGTTGAAAAATCCTGTGAAGGGCTTACAACAACAATAATAATCCTCAAGTGCTTGCAATCACATCCTGAATTACAAGCTCGATCGCTGGTCTTGCCATCATGCACGCAGGTCGTTGCAGTTAATTTCATAGTACTCGTCATAATGGCATTAGTACCTCTGCAGCAAAAGCACAAACAGTAACTACGATTTCAACTCTGCGAACATGGGGTTTCTTGATGCCCAAAGCCCAAAATCAAAATCTATCCCCAAATCTCCAAACCCTAACCCCTCCTCCCTAAGCCCTGAGCCCTAAATTCCTTAGCCCTGAACCTTCGGGAGCAGGCCTCAGCAAGCGCCAGTGACGGCCCCAGCTCGTTCGTCAAGCCTCTTCTAAGAAGCGCATATAAGGGCGTATACCATAGGTTTCCGCGTTCAGGGATACGAATTACTACCTTGTTCAGGGTTTAAAGGCGTTGAAAGCTAAAAGGGAATATTCTTTGGGATTATATTGGGCACTACTATGAGGATCCATTCTGTCATTGACTATAGGGCACAAGGTCGTCTAGTGCTCAAATTTGGCTCTGCGGGGATTGAACATCTAGGAATTAGGGTTTGGTGTTTTGTTGGGTTTACGTATCCCCCCCACCACCTACTACTCCTGTTTATACATAATTGTACAATAATGGGAGTTATCTGATTAGGGGGTGGGGGGACTACTAGTGGGTTCGGCCCCCAGGCTTGCCCAAGAGAAAGGCTGACAAGTAGCTGTTGGGCCTAGCAGGAGCAGGCGTGGTGGATCGTAGACTTGGGGCATGGGTCGATTTGAACGGATTTTTTTTCGGAAAAATCTGTTCGAGACTGCTGGAAATGCTGCAACTGCCGGTAACAAGCTCATCTCTGTTTTCTGCACTTCGGGTCCCAGCTCGAGGAAGGAGATCTGGTCAATGGGGCAACGTAAAACTTCAACCAGAATTGCTCACGACCCTGGACTAATGGGGCGACGGAAAATCTAAATCAGAACTCCGCATGACCCTGGACTAATCGGGCGCAGCCTGGACTACTGGGACGATCGTTGGTCTACTGGAACGACCACCTTTCAAGTTCATGGACTCCAGAAAAGTCGAGACGCAGCAGGTGCAGATGATCACATGTACAAAGCCTGAACACAATTGTGAGGACTAACTACCGACATGAGACAGCAACCCTGGCTTCCAACAGCCGAAATGTCAAGATGTGAAAGAAAAGCCAGTGAGCATGACAATCTCCCGGCAAAAGTCATCTGCAGATGCACACGTTAGCAACGGATGACGTCCGGGCAAACGTACATGCAGTGTAATGATTTTGCATGGGCCCGGGTTTATTGAAGGGCGGTTAATTTAAATCTAGGCAGGTATGTTACGAATCCACTGGGGCTGTCACTGCTAGCCACACAACGAACTACAGGATATTACCTAATAATAGCTTGGGTGTCCCAACTTTTGTAGGTCCCCCCAACCTAACTTTAGTCCGTAGCTCACATACTGTGAAAATGAAGTTTGGAAACGGACTGAAGCCAAATCATGGTCATTTGCAACACTTTTCGACATAGACCTCTGCGTAGAAAGATGTAGGGTTTAGGGTTTAGGACTGATTCCAACAGGGGCTTGCTTATTTGAATCATCTGCACAAACCTCACTATGGCTGCTTCATCGCTATCACAGCTACTACTTTCACTTGGGGGGAACCTCCCTATCAGCACAAGCTAAATCTTCTGGCCACCTTGCCTTAGGGGCCAACACCGTCTTCCTGAATCTTGATGCCGTGACTCCATTTTTCCCCTGTTCTAGCCCCCTTGCTGCAGTCTGTCATAGCGTATGGCTGACGTGATGGTCAGTACCAGAAGTTTCTCAAGCACCTGCTGTAAAGTTAACGTGAATTCTATAGACAAACACAATATCCAGCAAGAGGTGCCTTCGAAAGTGAAATTTCAGAGGCTATGCGGGTACCCCAAGGGTATTGCAAGATAGGCATGTCCTGGAAGCCCCAGGATCTACGTGATTCTGGCTCTAATCTTTTCTCCCTATCTATCTTCATGGGCAGACCCCTATGTTGAGGAACCTTCTCTGATGCATCTAAAACCAAAAGCCCTGAACCCCAAACACTGAATGGCAGGCTAGCGGCTGGAACGTGAAGCTGACTGCATTACGGCCTGTAGTTTTGCTTCATTCAAGTGGCTGTTCAAAGTGAGGGTTGCACTATGAGGTGAAGAGGGACCAGTAGGATTTCAAGGGATCATCTAGGAATGCCCCTACCTAGGGGTGGCCCAACCCTAACTTGGGATCCCGTTCTTGTGTCCATTGTGTACAACAATCTTATCCGCAGCGGGGTAGGCGTGATTCCACAGTTCGACCTAGACTGCCCAAGGTGGGTGATTGATCTCTTGATGCGTATTCGGCGCTGTGATGTTATTTGATATGAGGCTCTTCACAACTTATTGCTGTCAAAATAGACCTGAATTGCTTTGAGGATGATGGCGAAGTGCATATCAGCATGAATATGGACACTGAGACTGTTACGGTTGCTACTCGTGCTCTTACTCTTCTTCTTCTTCTTTTTACTGCTGCTGCTGCTGCTGCTACTGCTACTGCTACTGCTACTGCTACTTCTACGACTACTACGACTACTACTACTACTACTACTACTCCTGCTGCTACTACTACTACTACTACTACTAAACAAAGGATTTCTCTTTCTCTCCCGCTTCTTCCTTGTCGCTGCCCACGACAAACAACAGATTGCCGCAACCACATCAGCTAACATCTTCCATTACACGCGTGATATTGTAAGGAATGGGCCACATCACGGTACAACAAATTGTTGTGCACCTGTATTTGGATACAAAATGGGATCCGGATTTTGCAAATCCGTGCACGCGCTTCTGAAACTCAGGACTCTCAAAGGACACCTCGAAGGACCTGAAACAAACACACACCTGATCATAACCTTCCAGCAAGGCGGCCCATAAAAGTGCATAGACCAAAGTTCCTGAGGCTCAAACCTCTGCAATGCCTCTAAGGGAGGCCCAGCACGGCACTGAACACCCCACTTCCCCAAATACATACAGCACAAGGCAAGCGTCTGCCTCCGCGTCATGTGCTTGGGTGCAAAGCAGTTCTCTTGCTCGCGGCCCACTGCGGCATAACCCATTTTAGGCTTGAGGGGTCCAAGTTGGCATAGGTATATTGCCGCAGTCTGGCGTGAGTTGTAACAACAACTGTCAAGGACTTCAGGCTTTGAGCTGAATAAAAGCATGAGATCAGGACTCCGACTCCCGTTCCTGGTGTCAACTGACATTCTGCGTTGGAGTTTTGGGGTGCCCAGGTGCGCAGGGATCAGGGTTTAGGGCTCATGTCCCTGGATCTCCAAACTTGTACTATAAAACCCGCACTCCACTCAAAGTAGTGCCAGGGTCTGAGTAAGTTGTTGGTCCACCATTGTCTACATTGTGAGAAGGGGTGCTGCAGCCAATGCTTCAGGAGAAGGATTTCAGAGAAAGGTCCCCCACGTGAACGTATTCAGGCCTCTTGCAGGATCCGTCCCTCGACAGCTCCAGCTCCTCAAGAGAATAAGACATTAGTATTTCGAGCTGCAAGTGCCAAGAACCCCTACTGCTAAAAACTGTCTGATTGTGGACAGAGTTGCTTTTCAGCACATGCAAAAAGACTGCTCAAGTCCCTCAATTGCCCTTTCTTCCCTTAGCTCCACTGGATGTATGGCAAGCATCTCTGTCGGCTATCGTTAAAGATGCCTAAACTCAATAAAAAAAGGGTGAAGCTTCGAAGTGAAGTAGTAAACAATTGGGGAAAATATTTTTCCCCAATTGTTTAGTTGCAGATGCATAGTTACCGTCGCGAGAAGTCTTTCATGATTCATCCTGTTACAGGTGGCGGTCGATGCGCATGGCTCTAGAGCCCTCGATCTTCGCGACCACTCCGCCTTAAACACCGGTAAGTAACCAAGAAAACAATAAATACCCATTAAAGGAGTACCCTCCCTTATCGTGCTGCCTCAACAAACACCCAGAATCGTTTAGACGCCCCTAAACCCCTCTCTACCCTGACAATCCCTGAAATAACCCGTCACTAATTTGGTTCACCCTCTTTTGCGAATTCTGCCTGGGCACTCCCAAGGCCGGTGTCAAGGCCTTCAAAGGGAACAGGCTTTGCAATCTAAAGGATTTACGCATTGGGGTTTGGGATGCTGAGTCTCGGGTCTTATTTGTGGGGTCAAGATCTGGAATTATGGGTAAAGTGCCTAGGTTTACGGGTTTCGGCTTGTTGGGGGCAACGTGAGGTCACGTAAGGGCTACCGCCGCTTTGTAAGCATGCGCGGGGATTTGGCTTTAGTGGTCTGGAGGGTTTGGGGCGGGCTTTGGGGTGTAGGGACCTGGGAGGTTTACACAGGGCTTGCATCTGATCCTTGGTGCTTGGCAGCAAATGGGGGAACGGTTTGTAGGGTTTACCACTGAAGTGCGACAAGGATCCATCCACCAAGTAGCAAGTACAGATAGGGAAGCACCCGAGATCCGCTGATGAGGCCCATTTAGGGGATATGGAGGTTAATTAGCACACTTTTGGACTAGGGCCAGATGGCTAAGGGTGGGCTTCAGGAAACGGTGCAGAGATCTGGAGGGTTTAGTGCTCCAAAAGTTCTGGATCTAAAGCCTTAACGACATCAAGTTTGGGGGCTTCAAGTCGGGGTGTTTAATGACTGAGATCTTGGACATTGAGCTTCAGGATTCAAAGGTTGTGCTGCTGAATGATTCCAGCCACATTGCTTGCAAGATCCATCCAAGCCCCGATGCTGACCTGGGCTTTGGGTTTCAAGCCCTGCATGTAACCGTGGTGGAATTTCATGTTTTCAGCTGGACCCGACCCACCATGAGAAAAGCCTAAACATCCCACACGATGCCTTGGCTTCATAATGCGATCGATCCCAAATTACAGGCTTTGGGGCCTCTTTCCCTTTCCGTGCTAGCTTCTAGGGCAGGTCAAAGCTTGAGAGTACCTAGATGCTAGAAACTCACGAGAGCATTGCCAAAGTATCCAGCATTACTTCGTAGGCCTTGAACACCACATAGCCGCTTCACACTAAACCCGCACCCCTAAAGCCTACAGCCTGAGCCCGAAGTTGTGAAACCCAAGCCCCAATCCCTTTACACACTTCTTTTCCTGGTCTGTGGACCTTAAGGGGCAGGATCCCAAAGCCAGATCAGATCAACAGTCATTGTTTTTTCAGCGCATGTATGATCTATGGACCATAAGGAGCCATAAAGGGCTATGGGAATGTGGTGTTTAGTGTGAGGGATTCTGGATCCCTTCTGTTCCAGAGGGGGTGCCCTCGGGGAGGAGTAGGGATACATTGTGGCTATCAGGAATCATGGGCCCCCCTAAGGGATTGTATGAGGATTGATTGTTTTGGGAAACTCCCATTTCGCATCATTAGCATGTGTAATGTCACCTAAACATACGATCTCATTTCTAGTATCCACCTGGTCCGATTCATCAGCATTACCAGAATGGCAGCAGGCTTGTTTGGACTGTTACCATATTGAAGAGTCACGAGACGAATGAACAACAAACTTTCCAAAATGTTTCCTTCGATACTTTAATATGGAGCTCCACTATCCATCTAAAATCCTTATACATCTGTAGGCAGGGTATTCCAAGACTGAGAAACTTAACACTCGAAGGCTCTTGAGAACTTAGTAAGTTTACATACCATCCCCAACTATCGAAGCAAAAAGCCCCATAACAAACATGACTCAGACTCAGTAGTACGTCAAGGGAGCCCCCAAGCAGACTCCAAACTCCCAGCCCCTGAAATCTGAAATCTATAACCTAAAGCTTGTAAATGCCTGCGATACAGCCCTACATAACCCTATAACCTCCCACATGCCCCTGTAACTCTCTGCGTAATGCTGTATAAACCTCATGGAAGCCTCATGTGTGATAATGATGAGGCTGAGAGCGGGGCGAGGTAGCTCAGGGTGTCCCGCTGCAACTGGAGCCTGACCAAGAAGGCGCAACTCAGAAACCCGGCTTAGGGTTTAGGGTTCAGCGTTTGAAAGCGCTTCTACTAGTATATGTGTCTATAGATATATATGTATGTATACTATTTTGATATGTTCATTGCGCCTTACTTGGCCCCCACCAAGCCGGGCATTGCAAGCAGTCAAGAGACCATTGAAGGTATCTAGCCCGTCTGCCGCTATCATGCCCTCCGTATTTGGTCTCTGTAAGATGGTCCCCTAGATCGCTCAAACCTCCAGACCCCTAGACCTAGAGATCTCTAAATCTGGAAGCCCCAAAGCCCCTCAACCGCCTGAACCCTAAACCTAAGCGCTAACCTCCAAAGCCCCCCCAACCCCCTGAACCCTTCCCAAACCAGAAAACCAAGGTTGCTGCTGCCCGCCTGCCCACTTCTTCCAAGAGCTCCAAGGCAGAAGTCAACCTAATGCCGGGGCCCAAAAAACTTGTTAAAGGAGATATATAGGGTCCCATTAAACGGTTTACAAGGGTCATACAGGCGTTAGGATTAAAGTAGATTCAAAGTATCTAGAATAGGGAATAATTTTGTCCCTTGCAAAAGTTGTAGGGGTCATAAAGGGTTTGAGGTTGGGTACTACTGACCCGCCAAGTAGGGCCTTAGTCATGTGGTGCACAGTGGAATATAAGAGGACCACAGGAAAGCAACAGGGAAGGGACATGGAAACTGTGTTGACATAGGGTTTATTGGAACACAGAGTTGTTTTAAGATGGTTGCAGCATATGTTGTACTACGCTTACATGAATTTGGAGGGAATGATAACTGTGGTAATCATGCAGGATTCTCGTGAATCAAAATCCAATTTCCAATACATCGCGTCAAGTTTTACATCCTACATATAACTTCCAATTATAATCATGCATGAGCCTCAAGAAGACCATTTGAAGGCCTGGTTTCCCTGTAGATTCCCTAAATCGCGTGTGAAGCCTCCTGCCCTCGATTCTGGCACTCACAAAAGTGCTTAGGCTAAGATGGAATCCGAAAATGGGACCCTATAACTTTCTCGGTGTTAGCAGGGAGCAGCGAGAGAGAGAGAGAGAGAGATATATATATATGTTTACATATATGGGTTAGCAGGTAATGAGGGAAAATTCTGTATGTTATTCCCTACCAACCAGCAACAAGATAAACACTACTGAGCTCTACGTGGGGTTCCATGCACATTTGAGAGAGGGTAAAGCACAGTTGCGTAAGCCATAGTTTGGAAGCAAATACAGGCTCCATATGAGCTATAGTCTAAACTCCTAGTATCCCCCTTAATATCCCCTATAGTAGTCCCCTATATATTCCCCTATATAACCCCCTTTGAGGAGTTTAGACTATAGTACATATATACACCCCAAGTACTCTTGTCCCCCATAATTAGGACGCCCGCGTGGACCGCCAATTCTTGGGATCCCCAAGTCAAGGGTTCTGACTACAAGTGGGGGTTTCCCAAAATTAGGGGTACCCTTTTGGGAGTCCCCATAATAAGGATTATAGTATTTTGGGTCTATATTGGGGTCCCCGTATTTTGAGAAAGTAACAAGTTGCCTGGGGATGTTTTTTCCTGTGTGCGACATGCCCGTCTAGCTCTTAACCCTTGGCTTGGGCCTTACTTGGAGGGTCAGGGGACTTGGTACGTAGATTAATAATGGGGATAACTGGGGTTACTATATGGGTTATAGCGGTTGTTAACCTACTTACTAAGTCCCCCGGACCCTCTGACCCTCCAAGTATGTACCGAGTATAGCATAGTTTCCATACATGACAGGACTCTCATGTATATCCAACAATATTATAACGCTTATTTTCGGACCTCCAAAAAGGCATCCGGAATTCTTGTGACTCCGAGTATACCCCATATCTACCCTTATGGGCACTCAGAATATCCTCAAACGGGCCAGGGGCCATTATGATTGGCTTTTGTTAGGTAAGTAGATGACGAAGAACAAAAACACAAGTGTTACCTATAATGGAAATTCTAATGGGCTGTAGCATATTACCTGGTTATAATTTGTGGTTTCTTTCTTGGATTTCTGGGCCGTTCATGCGGGTGCTGAAGAGGACGCAAGAACGACCCCTAAGCCCTAGTAATGCGAATCAAAAGAATGTTTAAGATTGTTTCATCTTTCTTTTGCCATGCCCTGCACTACCCTCCTGGAAACGAATTGTACTTGCAGCTCCCTCAATTTAGGTGTTTCCAATAGTTCGGAATCTTCCTTTTTGGGATACTGAAATAATAAGGAGCAGAGTATGACCCCTTCTTTCGGGACCCCATAGCAAGGAATGGAATATTTCCCTTTCTGGATGTGTAAGAGGGATTGACATTTTCTGCAATTCGCATTTCTGGTTGCAGGTCTCCCTCGCAGCCTCTTACAACTGGATGTGCTCCCACGTCGTAAAACCCTTTTTGCACAGAAATGGTGCTGAAGATGCAGCAAGGAACAATGGTAGCAGCCCTAGACGTAGAATTATGTCCCAGTCATCAGAAGGATCATTGAAAAGGACTTACCAAAAAAGCCTGGCTGAGGGGACGGCGCATGAGACCTGTGACTGCGCAGCTGCAGGGTGTGATCGGCTTCTGTTAGGGTTTGGGGGTTAGTCTATGAAATCCTTCGTGGTGCCTGATGGATCTGGTCTATAGTTTGACAGGATGGTGCCATCAATTATGACACCTGCTAGTTATTCAGAGTGTGGGCTATCTTCCTTAGTGGCACCTCCTGACGTACGTAGGCCAGAATACTTAAGTTATCATTTCGAGCACCGCTCAGTCAGAGGGCCCCCCGGTCCTTAGACGTTGCCGGCGAGTCAGGAGTATCGGAAAATAGCTTAAGAGCGAGCATTTTCAAGCTATGTGATTCAAATTTTAGCCGTTGAAAATGCCCCGGCACCACGCTGACTATGCCAATCTACGTTAGTTTACGCCTTCCAGAATACAAGAGGTGTCTCTTCCAGCTCAAGACGAAGTAAACTGCATTCTCTCGTAAGAAGAGGAGGGAAGCGCAGTTGTTCTCCCACTTTTGTTTCTGCTATACCAACTGAACAAGGTACTCATGCAAAGTTCCTGGATCGAATGTACTTCCAGGTTCATGGGACTTCGCAACCACAATCCCAGTTATAAGTTGGGTAGTTCTGAATAAGACTGGTTCAGGGGATACAAGTGGGATAATAAGTGCGGCTTTGAGTTGCGGCTAAGTCCCATGAAGCGCTCAAACAAAGCCATCGCGCACAGAAAAGGAGCCAACAATGATAATTAATTTACCACAGGCACAATGCTGCTACTCCTGCTGCTGCTACTACTCCTGCTTTTACCACCATTACCAGCTTTCAAGAATGACAAGAATGAAGAAAACAACAAATCTTCTCATCATAGCTGACGTCAAGCATGACTGCAATATTCATGACACGTCGGTTTCTCAAAATTATAGATGCCTGTTTGAAAGTACTTAAACCCAGGATCCGAAGTTGGAGAAGGGGCACCCGTGTTTTGCGAACTCTGCGCATGCTCACCCTAGACCGTCACTCTATAGTCCCCCTTAAGTAGATAGAATATGGCTTTGGGTTTTTTATAATAAGATTCCCATATACTCCATATTCTATCTACTTAAGGGGGACTATACATCATCAGGTCTATGCTGTGCCTGCCTGCAGCAGGATGAAGCCAATGCGTTGTACCTTGCTTGGGGAGCTTCCTTTCCAAACGTATTCAGTTTGACTGCGCAGTAACATAGGGGGGTAGTTGATGTCATGGTCTCCATATTGGATTTCCGTCGGTCAGCGTTACGAGGTTGATGTTGCGAGACTTAGGCCTCAACAAGGTGGCTGCTTCCAGGTAAGGGTGCTCAGCCACGACTACTTGTGGAAACAAGCTTCCTTAGGACCTGCCTGAAAAGCTACACAATACTTGCAAACATTTGCGGAGAGGGAGGCGGTTGAGCATAGCAAGAAGGCTTGCAGGAAGAGTCTCCGGTCGACTGGCGTGTCCTGAACTTGGACCTTCTTGGGAGGCTTGCAGCCTTCTAAAACGAAAAACTATGTAGTGCCAGCCCTGGCCCACAAACCTTTTGAACGAACTGTGGCTGAGGCCACAAATCTTTCTTGGTTTCTACATGCAATTAATCCCTCCATCAAGGGACCCAGCAAGGATACTCATGGTCGGGTTTATCCCCAGTGAAGCCGAACAGAGGCCTTATTGATCCTCAGGACGGTAAATTCTCTTGAAATCTCCTGAATTGTCTTCAACCCTGAACAGCCTAAGCTTTCAAGCCTCAACCATATGCCCAAAACCTTGAAATTTTAAACGCCAAGCCCTGAACCCCAACCACTACATACCCTAAGCTCTCAACGCTGAGCCCTCAGCCCTACTCCCGCCAGGGTCCAGGCGGCGAAAGTGCTCCATTGAAGCGTCCGCGGCGGAGCAGCGCAAGGCCTTCACTCCATCGCAGGCCTGAAAAGAGGAAGAGTTGAGAGGACCATAATCCCTTACATAACCCCTATATAGCAGTTTCCATTTCATTTTCCATTTTCTTTTCCATGTGATTCTCCATGTTTAAGGGGGATACTAGACTATGGGATGCCATGCTTTCAAGGATAAGTCTCATCATCATGTTTTTCCCTGTAGCGCCTTCCATGGTTTCGGTGAAAGGTTGACAGTCGCTGCAAGTTGTTTGCAATGTGTAGTTGGGACTTTGAAGGTGATGCCTGCTGCGGAGGTGGGGTTCTGCTATTGGCTTAGGGTGTCTAGCCAGAGTCCATGTTTAGACAGGGGTTCTGCACAAGAGGAGCCGCTGGAGACCCAAGGTAGGCGTGGGGATTAAGAAAGTCAGTATTCATGATTCGATAGGGAAGAAGTTGAGTTTCTCCAGAGTAATGGATGTCTGTAGCCTTAAGCTGCAGTCCCAACCACAGAATCCGAACCCTAAACCCAAAGCCGCCCTAAGGTCTAAACCCGGACCAAATCCCGAGATCTGCTGTCAAGGAAGTTGCAAAGTCCGGCCTACAGCGCAAGCTGTGATGACCGCATTGAAGGAGACCTGCGCAGACTGAATAGGATCCCGGTTGTAGGATTTGCCATGTAGACTGCTATATGAGGGTTTTCTTGACATGGTGATGCTCTTGGGGACCCCAAGGGTATGCAGCAAGTCATTGAGGGTTCTACGGGTTCCTCTCAAGTCTAAGACATGGGGAAAACTAGTATGTAGCTGGCACGCATATACAAAGTACTCGTACTACGCTGGTTTGCGCATAGCCACATTTGGGGCAACTGCCCTTCCAAGCCAGTAAAAAGCCAGTTCAGTAAAAGGAAGAGGTCACCATGTTGCACTCATGTTGAACGTCCATGGAAGCAGAAAGTGGTTACAGCTTGTGCTCTAGGCCAATTAGGACAAGTACATGTATGACTGTTTTCAAAAAACAAGGCTGCCCTTGGGGATTCTGAGAGTTTGAGCAGTACAGGGACTTATAATTATAGGAGGTCCCGTCAAGGTTGTACTGGGATCAGCCTGAGAAACTGCTGGAATGGAATCAGCCCTGCTACCACTTGCCTCGTTCGGAACGGGCAGGCTCGTATCCTGGCGAAGCTGTGGTTGTGGGCTGCGGGGTACGGCTTAGGGTTGACGTATGTGAAAGGCTATTGCGCGCTCCCTCTTGCATCCGAGCTCTGCACTTATGAATAAAGCCTAGAACAAAGCCCCGCTGCACTCTTTTGTGGCCCATTTTCATGAATCACCCATGCCATACATGTAGAATTGAAATTCAGGCAGATGCTGATGAAAGGTTTCCTGAAGCAAAAGTTGTACATGTCATCGGGTCCCCAAATTCACCATACTTCTCAAGGGCGTTTTGCCGCGTGGGGCCGAACCCACCGACTTTTCCCGGTCAAGCGCTGATGTCCATGCGAGGGATAAATGCCATAAGCCCTAATCCTGAAACAAGGCCCGCTTTTGAATCACTTCAACTTGCTCTGATTAGCCTGCCCATCTGCGCATGAATGCTGAGTTTACGTGACTATTCTGGTGCAAGATTTCTTCCGTCGCCACCAAAACCGTATACCACCTATAGATACCTCTGCAACCATAAGGTGTTCCCTATCTAATGCCAAAGAGGTATGTCTCCATTGCAGTGCAGCCTCTCAAGCCTAAACCCCCAAACCCTGGGACAATCAACTGGAAAACTCGCAACCCAAACCTTCAAACCCTAACCCTAAATCAACCCTACTGAACTCAACTTTAGAACCCTCAAACCAAAAACGGCCTGAACTCAGCCCCTTATCCTCGGCCCTGAGCCCCAAAGCCTCGAACATTTGCTCAAAGAGCCGTAGAGCTGCCTGTCTCCAGTGGCCACATGCCAAAGCGTTTGGGGATTTAGGGTTTAGGGCCCAAATGTTTGGGATTAGAGTTTACAGTTTTGGGGTTTGCGGCTTAGGGCTCAAACTTTTGGGATTAAAGTTTGCAGCTTAGGGTTTGGGGTGGGAAGTCACGGGTATTCTGCAGAGCTCCGCTTTCCGAAATTGACACCATCCAGACCTTTAAGGAACCCTAGCAGTGGATACTCCAAGGGTATGCTGCCAATACGTCTTGGGTCGGTTCGGAATAGGCCAGAGAAGGTAAAACAAGGTAGGGCATTCTCAAGACAGCAGTGCTTTGAGAATCTGTGGATGTAGTCGGTATATGAGAGGTGTACGATGGTTCCTTAGGGGAAACGTAGCCATGATTCTGAGAAAAACTTCCACCTTTTCCTACAGGGACTCTGCAATAGGGATCAGATGACAGCAGGTTGCGCATCAGAGAAATTCATTGTAAGCCTGAAATAGGAGAGGTCCCACAAGAAACGCTACCTCCAGGGGAAGTCCTTTGGAAGCCAGGGGTTCTTAGAGGGTCTTCCGGGGAAGCCCTACATCCTTCCTAAACCCTAAATCAAAGGAAAGCAACTCAGGTTTTCACAATGCCCGCCTCAGATTGGCCACACTGGCTGCAGGCCTCAAACTGACGACAACTTCGATCTTCTTCCCTACAACAGCAGGTTTGCAGATAAGATAGCAGCGCTACAGTCACTCTTGCCCACATAACTAGTGGACATGGATTCCTATTCGGGAATATATTCGGGGTTATACGAAACTACCAAAGGGACCTCTATATCCATCCTGAATGGTCCCTTGGTAAGCCTAATATTGACAATAGCCCACATGAACTTTCAAGCAGGGACAGGGCTCATGTTTTGGTTTAAGATGTGGGGTCCCACGTTCGGGATCGAAGGCTGCAAGGACTGCCAGGCTGAAATACCTGTCCTCTTCAAGTTGCGAGAAATGAAGAGAGCAACTTCACCCACTCTTTAAATCGGATGCTTCTCAACGGCTGAGTCTCAATCAACATTCGCAAGACAAAGAAGGAGCCCGAATGTCTGAAGGTTTCTCAGTGGGCATTCGCGTCTCCCCTGAGGATTCCCAAGTTATGAAAAAAATCCTCCGTGCGCAATACACACGTAGTACAGAAGCTTGCAAATAGGAGGGCCCCAATGCAGACCCCAATATACGTTCATCTTGGTTATAGGGACGCTGAGAAAAGTGACCCCCAAGATTTTTTCGGAAAGCCTAAACCTCAAACCCCCGTATGGGTCCTCAGGAGAGGAAGCCACTTGAGCCATGGTCTAAACTCCCAGTATCCCCCTTAATAATCTCTATAGTAGTCCTCTATATTATAATCGCCTACATAACTCCCTTTTAAAGAGTTTAGACTATAGCTCACTTCAGATCTGGGTGCCCCTGCGCTGAGAGCGGCATTGTATGTCACTACCTTTACTGCAGGAAGTTCTTGGAAGGTCATTCTGGGAAGCCCATGATTGCTTCTTATAGGAAGCTGAGATTTCAGGGATTAGCGTTTGGGGTTTACAAGCATAGCTTCAGCTGGAGGCTGCTCTTTTTGGAGCCCTGGGGGTATTATAGTTGAAAAATGACCAAGTCAATGAATAAGGGGTTCTGAAACGCACGGGTCCTGTAGGGGCAATTTCGAACTTCCAAACATGTCATGCCCAGAAATTTCACATTTTGGATGCGCACCATAGCTAACCATTGTCTAGGATCATTGCCAAAGAGAAAGAAATCATATTGAGGAAGCTCCTAGCCAAGGGAAACGGTGTTTTAGCCACAGGTCATCTCCAAGGGCAACAAAATTCACTGCGGAAATCTAACCTCCACCGACCAAAAAACCACAAACCCTATCTGATAAACCCGAAAGTTTGCCCTAAGCTACAACATGGGCACCTGCGTGACCGCGGAACATGTCAGCGGAAAAAGAGAAGATTGCAGAGAACGGAAAGGGTTCACGTTACGAACACCACAGCAAAATTACAGTGTAGGGACAACCATGAAACAAAGCAAAGCTATGCCCATGAACCTGTTGCACAGATGGGAAATTTTCAAAAGTCACGGTATGCCTGAGTGATTCTTGACTGGAACCTGTAAACACCCCCCCTCCCCGCCGTTCTATATCTTGAGGCTTCAGCAACCAAGGAAAACAATTCTGATCCCTGATAAAACAGGGATTGTACATTGAGAGGTAGTAATCGAAGTGTACTATGCAGAATCACTACATGGCGGCTCCTGTAAATCGTGCGTCCTTTTTTTGACCGATCCTATGGCTGCTCGTTGCACAGCGGAACTACCAGCTTTAGAGATGTCCCAAACTAGACTCCCCCCATGGTCGTCGTACTTCTCGTCTAAACTGGCAAAACCCCTTCTTCCTGAACCTCTTAGGAAAATCAACCGGCGCCACTGTACTCCTAGCCCTCCATCCTGGTCTAAACCTTAAGCCCAAAAGTCTTAACCCTACAGCCTACACCCTATACCTCTCGGGAGATAGGACATCAACATCATCAGCAGCATCATTGTTGTGCTCCCAGATGATGATGTTGTCCCATCTCCCAAAGGTGTAGGCTGTAGGGTTTACGCACGAAGCGTGCCTCAGCTGGGATCCTTCTGACGGCCGCTTCAGCCAGGAGCTCCAGAGCCAAGCCCCACTCCCTGAAGCTCGGCTCAGCAGATCGAGATTTCTTGGAGGCCCTTCTGACTTAGCAGGTCTACCTAATGCCTACTGCCAGCCCCATAGCCCCTCTTACTACATAGCAGGCTCACCAAGTCAGGTGAGCCTACAACCAGGGATAAAGGTATAGGTATCACGGTTCAGGGGTTGGGCCTTGGAGTTCAAGGTAGGGGTTTTTAGGGTGAAAGGTACAGTAGTTAAGTACTTGGGGATTAGGCTTGAAGGCTTGGGGCGTTTAGGCCTTGGGGTTTCGGTCTTTGAGCTCAGTGTTCTATTAGCGGACAAGTCCTGCATGATGCAGAAAACGGTACTACGACAGTTCCTGCGTCATTACGTATAGACATATATTATATTGTATGTCGTTGGCAGTATTCACTGTCGCGCAGCATTTCATCCATCGAGTGTCTGTCGAGGTGGACTGCTAGTCTTCTTTATGGCCACATCAGGTCAGGGACATGGGGATTGCGGTTGATAAGTGTGAAGGTCCTGCCAGCATATAACAGCGATGAGGATTCTTTGGCTCATTTCATGCTTGAACCCCCACAACCCCATACGCTGAATCCCAAACCATGAACAATAAGCTCTAAGCAAGAAGCACCCACACCCTCTGACTTCCTGCTTGCTGTTGCTGCCAACATCCGTCCCCAAGGCTGTGCCCAGGATCAGGAAAGTTGCCTGACAAATCCAGGTCCACGGTTTCTGCTGCAGCGGCGTGGGCCACTGCCGCCGCCGCCTCTATCACCACCATCACTACCACCACTCCCACTCCTGCTATTCCTACTCCTCCTACGTCTGCTTCTCTTACTACTACCAACCAGAACGACTGTTACGACAACTTGCATTTGTGCTGCCACGTACTTTAAGTAAAACAAGATTCCTCTAACTCCTATCCCCTGTCTGGCTAAAACTCAATATTTTATGCTATTACCATTGAGCCTTGTCCTTATGCCCTCCAGGGTCCTCAGCCCTGTACAAATCCTAAATTCCGTCCAGGGCCCCGAGCCAGCCCTTTTCGCAGGCACTGATGGCAGCGCTGAAGCCCACGGCATCGGGTTGCAGGCCACGGCCCTGCACACTTTCATGCCACATGTAGGGGTTTCTGGGTTCCCTTGGGGCGCAGGATATTGGGATTCTAGGGTTAACCATTTAGGATTCTATGGGCATATCCTGAGCAACTCCCAGTCTACATCCGTAAAAATGCAGATGCCGTTGAGCTGCAGCCTGTATATCCCGACATGCTTGTTTGCTGCCAACTTGAAGATACATTGTGAATTAGCACCAATGCGCAAAGCCAGCTTTCTAGTCTAGCATCTTGAGCGCATGCACAACCGACCTACAATTGTAGTACCTTCCTACTGTCTTAAAAAAAATTGGTACCGCACCCAGAACGGAATTCACCCCGAGTCCCCTTGTGACCATGCGCTGGCACTAGGATCCTGAATAGTTTTAATAGTTAAACAAGGCTGCCGTTCTGGGATCAGCCGGTCACATACACAACTTCACAGCCCAAACACAAAAAGAGACAATACTGAGGCCCCAATACCCCAAACCCTAAGCCCTCTTGAAGCGCAACTTTGAACCTGACACTAAAGGATCACCCTGAAGGTTCTGAGCCTTCAGGCATGTTATTCCGACTTAAGCTACAGAGGTATATTTACCCGATGGACTGAGATTCGCTTCGTGCAAGCTCCTCAACCTAATCTCTATATACTCCTCAAGAAGTACCTGTGCATGTATACTCCTCCCCACAGATCCCTCTTTTTAGAAACTCCAACATCCCGTGGTGGTTGACTTCGGGGCAGCGGCCGAATGTTCCCCATGTTGGGTCTCCCAAAATTGGGCGTACCTTTTGGGAGGTCCTCAGAATAAGGGTTATAGCATATTGGGGTGTATATTGGAGGACACTTATTTTGGGCAAGTACCATGTTATCCTCAGAAACAAACCTAACATCGCAGAAACAAACCCATGATGTTATCGAGCTTCACAACCGCGCACTAAACTCCAAACCCCGAACCTCAAATAGCCCTAAACTCTAAATCCTAAACACTAAAACCCAAGCACGGAAATCTGAACCAGCAGAGCAAATGCAGCCTTGGCATCTTCCAGGAGTGCGTGGGCGTAGCTCCACTGCCTGCCTCTGTTGAACAGAAACCAGATTCCGAGCAGAATCTGAAAGTTAGATCTCCTATAAAAGCCTGAACGTCCATTAGGACATGCTAATGATATCTATAGTACAGAAAAAATGGGCGCAGCAGGATAGTACCTGGTTGTAACCTGGGTTTTTTGTTGCTGACATATGAGCCCTTGAAACGATTTACACAAATCCCATGTTACCCTCCATATCAACCCAGGCGATGAACCTTTTACAATTTTTGGGGTGTTGGGTGTCTGTTGAAATCGTTTTTGTCTGTATTCTACACGGGCTATGTGGATGCCTTACGCACGAGAATCAATGGTCCGTGCTTGTTGAAAACTGCCGACGTAGTGTAGGGGCAACAAGTTCAAACGCGGCTTTGGGTGAATTCCTTTTCAGCTATAGAAAAGTGATGAGGGAGTCATGTTGCTAGGTAGTTGTTCAGGCTTCTACACACATTTCTCTGGTTACCAAGTTTTCAGGGAGCCTAGGACGTCAGCCTGCGATGCCACAACCTCCATCTTTCAATAAGCTTGATTTCTGCACTCCAAACAGTAGGGTTTAGGGGATATTGGGGTTGTGTTGGGGTATGGGCTATATTGGGATAATATTGGGATAATGGAAAAGAAAATTGAAACTACCATTTGGGGTTTTGGGTTTAAGCTGTCAGCAATCCCAGGCTCCAAGGCAATTCAAAACTTCCCGAAGAGCCCTGAATTGAATGCTCTAAATAGAAAAACCTTTCAAGTTGGGTACTGCCCCTAATAATCTATATTAGGGTATTACTGGCTATGTAGAACTATAACTTAATTCTTAACCAACTGTTACAGAGTGGCGGCAGTGCACAACCTATTTACAAACCCTAAACCCTACAGCCTCAACCTGGAACCCTAAAGCCTAAATCCTAAGCCCTAAAGCCTAAACCTTAAAACCTAATCTCCCGACCTTAAGCCCAACCTAAAGGCTCCTCTTGCCCAATGCCATGGACTTCATGGCCTCGCTCACAGGCTGAGATAGCAGAGTTTGTCGAAACGAGGCTTGACCTTGGCTGGTACAAAAAAATCAGGGTTTCCCAAAATTAGGGGGTTTATTATCCCCCTATAATGGAGAAAATGAAATGGAAACTGGGTT